TATTAATCATACAATTTTACTATAATATTTGATATGAGGCAATTGTTAATTATAACTTTATATTAATCATATAATATTTTAGTATAATATTTGATATGAATGTTATTTATTTATTTATTTAATAAATTTAATAAATAATACTTTAATCTAAAGAGTTTTCTTCTTACTAACTCTTTATTATAGCACCATTAATTCATAACAAATAATTATTAATTAACATCTTTCCTCTCACTTATTTTTTTAATAATTAATTAATTTTAAAAATAACTAAATATTAAAATACATAATTTTTTTCTCATAACTTTCATATGATGCGATATTATTCCAATGTCTCAAATATCTATTTTATTGATTAATTTTTTTTTGTAGGTTCAAAATTTTGTAATTGATCTTCACGTTTTTTTAACTACTATTCATAAATATTATTTCAATTTCTATTATTATTTAATATGTTATTATAAAGCAATATTACACCAACAACCTATCATAATTCAAAAATTTGATATATCATATTAGTGTTTTAAAAATAATATACCTACATTAAAATTAATTAAAAAATATAAAAACATCTTTACATACAATGTTTGATATTATTTAGGATTCAACCCTTTTAAGATAAAATTATTTTCACATTTTATGTAATGTGAATGTAGAAACTTTATGTTTTTCCGATCTTAATTAATAATAATAATAGGTAAATTTACAAGCTTATTTTCAGTAGAAGGACTATATTATATAAAATACTATCTAATAAAAATTCTATAAATTATTTCGACTTTACAATTTTAAAAAATTCTTTGTAAAAATAGACATTTGATGAGTTAGATTTTGTTACTGTTGTTGTTATTATTATTATTATTATTAATTATTATTATTATTATTATTAATAAGTCTAATGTAAGATTTCTTAAAATAAAATTTATATTAAAATCATTAATTATTAACTTTCCATGTATCACTCTTTTATATAACTCTTTTAGAATTTTTGGCGCCAAAATTAAAGATGACGTTGTAATTTCATAAATTATATTTATTTAATTATTAACTTTATTATTTATTCAAATTTATTAAATTTTTTATATTATATTTTATTAATTATGTAGTAATTTTTATTTTTTGTTAAAAAACTAACTTTTAATTTTTCTTAAGCCACCTTTTCAAATTAACTACTTCTATTATTCAAAACTATATTTAGTAATTCCGCTAACTTCTAATTTTTTTTTTAAATTCTTAAAACTAACTATATTCCAATAACTTATTATTTTATGTTTTTAATTTCTTCTTAAATTTATTATATTTCTTTATTTATATTGCTATATTTTTTAAATGATTTTTTACTATAACGTATGTTACATTACATAGTCCACTTTACTATAGTAACCAAAAAATTATGATTTCAATTTATCAACTTACTCACTCACTCTGTAACTATAATTAATGCCCCATGATTGAATATGCAATGGATGTGGTAGAATTATTGAAGTGAAATTTAGTATTTTTAGTATGTTACTATGTGACTAATATGTATATAAATAGATTAGTGACCGTTATTATAGAAATTAATTTTTCTTATAGTTTTTGTAACTGAGCAATAAATATATTTTTTAATTATGTTCTTTATTATTTTGTGCATTAACAAAAATAATCTATTTTCTAAGTAATTGATATTTTTTTAATCAAATTTTACATAAATTTTATCTTCTACATATAGAAATGTTATATTATTTAATTATAAATATATTTTGCTTCAATTTTAGCAAAGACCATCCATAATTATATTTATATATAACTATTCACCATACTCTTTTAACCTCTCTTTACCAACTCTCTCTTAACTTCTATCCATCTTCTCTTTTATTACTCTCTTCACCAATCTCTCTTAACTTTTATCCATCTTCTCTCTTTTATTAATATGAAAATAGTTTAAAACAAATATAATTCTCACAATTCCTTTTCATTCTATTCTCTTTATTTAAATATGTTTATTACATTTCACAATGAACACATCTGTTATTGAATTTATTTTTCTAACAACACACTTCATGTATGTTTTTGGATTTTATGTTACAAGTTTTATCAATATGAATATTCACTCTTATATTATATTGAATTTATTTTCCTTTTTTTAGGTACAAGTCTAAGCACACTCTAAAGCATCCGATTACTAGAGCATATCAATAAAAGAAAATAGCAAAATAGCAAGGTGTTTCATGTATGCTTTTAGATTTTATCTCGTTAGTTTTATCAATATGAATATTCACTTTTACATTTGTAAATTAATATTATGTCGTTTTTACAAATTTTCCATTCAGGATGTTCAAAAGGATTTAACAAAGAACCAATATTTATATTGTTAAATCACTTGATCAATTTTTGGATTAAAAAATAAGGACAATTATATAATTTTTTATATTTTTTTATTTATTTATTATTCATTCCACTAATTTCTTTTTTTATTTAGTTATTTATCATTATTCACTCCACTAATTAATTAACTTCTTATTTTATTTATATTATATATCACCTTAACTATCACTTCTTATATTTACTTACTTATTTATTATTATTTATCCCTCTAACTACTTATTTTTATGATTTTTATATATAAGATTTTATTACTATTTGTCATAATTTATTATGATAAACATAACCTACTTTTAAAAATAAAAAAAAATTAATTACATGAAGAAAGGAAGGAAGCTCAACTAGTCTGAAAAAATCTGTTTATCAAAGAAAAACTTTTAAAGCAGAAATCTCGTCAGAACTGGATAAAGGAAGGAGACCTCAACACCAAATTTTTCCATGGTATTATGAGAGAAACGAGAAGGTGTAGCAACATTATTTCACTAGAAGCGCATGTAGGCAGGTTGGAAAGTGTGTCACAGATAAAAGAAGTTGCTTGCGTCCACTTTGAAGCTAGATTTTTTGAATAAGGTGCTAATCGGCCAAGGTTAGATGGTATTGAATTTAGGTCCCTTAGTGCTCTAGACAGTGTCAACTTGGAAGAAGTGTTTACAGAGGATGAAATCAAAGCAGCCATCTGGGAATGTGACAGAGACTGAAGCCCGGGGCCAGATGGATTCAACTTCAACTTTCTAAAGAAGAGTTGGGACATCATTGGGGACGAGATTATTTCATTCATGCAAGAGTTTCACACTACAACTATCTTACCCAAAGCACTATCTGCTTTCTTCTTAGCTCTTGTACCAAAAGTTCAAAATCCTTAAACATTGGAAGAATTTAGGCCAATTTGCTTAATAGGGTGCCTCTATAAAGTAATTGCCAATTACTTGCAACAAGACTCACAAAAGTAATTGGCAAAATTGTCTCAAAATCGCAAACAGGATTTGTGCCAGGGAGACAAATTCTAGACTTTGTGGAATTGAAATGAGAGACATTGCTAAAAGAAGGAAAAAATGTATGCTATTTAAGGTTGATTTTGCTCAGGTATTCGATTGTGTAAGCTGGGACTTCCTGCGATATTTACTTAGAAGATTTGGTTTCTGGCACAAATGGATAAGATGGATGGAGGAAAGTGTATTCAGCAACAGTATGCCAGTTCTAATCAATGGCAGTCCCACGGAGAATTTTGTTGTGTCACGGGGATTACGACAAGGCGATCTCTTATCACCATTATTATTTGCTTTGGTAGCTAAAGGATTGGAGAGTGGTATGTACAAAGGATTCATAGTGAATGATGAGGTCTCATATGATTTGTTCCAATTCGCTGATGATACCATATTGGTAGGGGAGGGGAGATGGAGTAATTTGTGGGCCTTAAAATCAATAATGAGAGGCTTCTGAGATGGTATCAGAACTCCGCAGCAATATGCACAACAGAAAACTGTATCGCATTGGATTGAGGATTCATTTAAATTTATAATTTATAACAATGTCGTTATATTTATTTATAAAAATCTAAAAGTTAAAATAAATTTGGTTCCATAAATTAAATAAACAACGATGTATTATTTTTAATATAATAAATTATTGTTAAAGATACTGATTTATTTAAATTAGAAGAAACTAACAACAAATTTATTCAAGAGTTTGATTTTTTTAAACATAAATATAATTAATATAAGATTGTCAATAACATATAAAAAATTGAGAAATTCATTTAAATGTATAATTTATAAATAATTTAAAATAAAGTCAAAAATCTTTAAAATATATTTTATAAATTTTTGATTAAAAATATATGAAATATATAAAATATTCTTAGAACAAAAATTGGGTACCTAACTAAACAAAATAGTAGAGAAATTATAGTTTAATTACCTTGGAGTCAGATTTAATAGTGGTAAGAATTTTTTTGACATATACTGAATTATTGTTGGAGCAATTTAGAAGTGAATAGCACATATCTTTTGCAATCTGCAATAAAATTTTATGAAAATTAGTAAAATATTGTTATATGGAAAATAATAAAATAATATTATGTACATTAAATATTTAAGATTTAAATTACCGGACAAAGTGCGGTGCTAAATGGAGAGTCCTTAATAAGAGTCAAGGTTATACAACAGAATTCAATAATCTCATGATCTATGTGAGAAGACTCTGCTTTCTTCAATAAAATATCAGTCCGGTTCCTTATATGCTCTAATAATTTTCTCACCATTTTCTTACCTGAGTCATCCTCCATCCTAAATAAATTATATATAAAATTGTATTTAATTATTCAAACCTAAAAATAAATTAACAAAATAGATAAATACAGGGCAGGAAGTACCTGATGTAATTATTTGCAAGTTTCAAGAAATGTATCATTGGTGTTGGTGATTGGTAGATCGAACAACATTAGAAGGATGGAAATTATGATTTTGCATACATAGTGCGTTAGTTGGACATTTTCCATCTCCTCCAAGAAATTTAGCCCATAAATTTTGACACGAATCTCGAAGCATAGTAGAATTTGATATCTTAAATACAGCTCATCCACTTTGTTGGACAAGTGATGCTTGGGATGAAGTATTCCAAATTTAGTTCGGGCTAAAATGAAAAGTGAAAAAGACCAAACATTTGTGCAAGCTTCTCATCATCAGAGAACTTGTACACCTGATGCTGATGCTGATTGCTCCAGTTCAGCTTACCAAATCATAAGCTCTGTTCCGCTCCAGTTTAGCTTTTTCAGCCATCTGCTCTATACTGTGTTCATTTTCATCCTTCAAAGGTTTATAACCGAAGACCGTGAACTCAAAATCAAAATCGAAGGTAACAAAAAGGGTTTCTTTCTTTTGTGCTTGGATTCTCTTTTATTAGGTTAGGGGTGTATTTTTTTAATCATATTTGTGTTTGGTTACTGTGATTTTGAAGGTGTTTTTCAACACCCAAACTTGATTTTTTTTGTTTGGAGCTGTGAATTTTGGTTTGGCCTGCTCTATTATGATGAATTATTTAAGTTATATAGTTGTGTGAATATGATTGTGATTGATTTATGGATGCGGAAATATGAGATGGGCATTGCCAAACCCTGCATATATGTTATCACTAAACCACATGCCAGATATCCCACACCAGCAGATTCATGGCCATTACAACTGCTTGGAGAGCAACCAAATTCTAGTTAAACTTGTTAAATTGTAGAGCTCTAGATTCAGTATTGGTATAATCAGCCAAGTACCTTTCCTAGTTGCAATGCTGCTTGGAGCTGTGTATAAACTATAGATGTTCAATCATCTTAGAAAAATTTACTCGATTCTATTTTGTGTCTTAGTTATGATTTAAGTTAGGTCATCTTTAACATCTTATCTTCCTTTACTGAACTGAAAGACGCCATCAATGATTACAGTTGTCAATGATCTTGGCCGTCAGTGAATATCGAATTGTTGAGATTTCAAATTTCCAATTTGCCATGGTTAGGATATGAGTAATTTGATCTTCTATCCTACTTCTTAGATTATATTGTTGTGCTATTTCTTGGGACTGTGTCTGATGATTAAGCCAGAGAATGAGTGGATTTAATTTTTATTGGCAAGATTTTGTAGGGATGTGGTGTGAATGAACATGGGAAAAAAGTAAATTTTAATTTCGTTTTGCTTCTTTATTTGTAAATTTTGCTTCCTAAGGTACAAACAACCCTTCTTGATTTTCTATTTAAGCTTAAGTTGGCATTATAAAAACTGTTGAAAATTGTTCTATTTCCAAAAGACTTTACTGGTTTAGGAGTTGTGTTCATCTATCTTTTTTGTATCAAATTTATTTCATTTTGATAGTTGAGATAAAAAATGAATAATTCTTGCATCAGTTATGAGAGTTAACTAGAAAGCCACTTATTAAGAGTTCAATTAATGATAGTGAGACTTTATTGACTCGCAAATTAATATTTTCTCACCTCTCAACTCCCTTTATTATGAAACAGTGCAGTGTAACTAGCTGTTTTTAGAATTACATACAATTCATATTTTTCTTTTTAATCTTTTATTACAACATTCAACTTTTTGCTTTTTGCTATGAATTGTAATGTAAGCTTCATGTGGATTTAACTTGAGCAGCCAAAAGAATGTCATAGGTCAATATACCTCAAATTTTGAGCTCATAACTGCTATAAATACTCTGAAGGTGATATGTTACTTTCTGGTTTTCTAACCTTGTCTCTCAAAAATTATACTAACTAGAATGAGAGAGTAGTAATCGAATCAAAATACTTTCAAGTTTTTTTAGCAAAGGGTACTCTTGTTTTGTTTTTTAGATACATAAGTAATTGAGTTAAATGTAATTGCATTTTTATTACAATGAAGCATACTTAATAGCTTTTTTTAGTATTTGTGATTTGTGAAATTGAACTGATATATACTTCGAGAGGGATCAACTCTTAAGGAAAAGGCTGGGCCTCAAACTGCTCTCACAAATTTTCTCAGTGATTGCCTTATGTGATGTTTAATCTTCTTTCAAATATAAAAGTGTTTTGTCTTTATTCTGTAAAATAAATAGTAGACTCAGTTGTATGTGATTTCCCTTTAAGCCCTGAATTTGTTCATCAAATAATAATGTTGGCTGAGGGAATGTATTTCTTGGGATTGGAAACTCAAAACTAGGTTTGCTTGTTGTAGACATTTAGCAGGATGTACTGAGTTGTGTTATATATGTTAGAACACAATTATGCGCAGCAGTATATTAAAGATTTTTGAGAGAGAATAGACTAAAGAGAAACTTGTATATTATTTCAAGATGAACAACACTATATATTTATTTACATTGCTTTGGCTATTTATAAGTGACACATATTGGTCACAAATTAGATTCTGCAGAATATCCAGCACAGCTAGGATAACTTCCAATAGTATTTTTTAACTAAACAAACTACAGTTTTGAATTAGAACTCAACACTTCCCCTTAATTCATAACTGTTTGGCACTCACAACTCCAAGTTTGTTTCTCAAAAACTCAAATCTGTCAAGTTTAGAGCCTTTGTGAAGCCATCTGCTAGCTGTACTCCAGTTGGACAGTACTGCACTTCTATCATTCCATTGCTTACTTGTTCTCTAATGAAATGGAATCTTGTATCAATGTGTTTACTCCTGCCATGTGAGATCGGATTCTTTGTAAGACTGATAGCTGACTTGTTGTCAATTCTGAGCATGAGAGGTTTCATCACTTCACACCTCAGCTCCTTCATTACTGAGTTCAGCCACATTGCTTGGCAAGTTGCAAATGTCCCTGCAATATATTCTGCCTCACAGGATGAAAGTGCAGTCACCTGTTGTTTCTTGGTACACCATGATATGCTTGCCTCATTGAACTTGAAGACATAGCCAGAAGTGCTCCTTCTATCTATGATATCTCCACACCAGTCACTATCCGAATACCCAATCAATTCATTCCTTCCACCTTTGCTTCTATTTGGAAATAGCAAACCAAAATCCTTTGTGCCTTTTATGTACCTGAGTATCCTTTTAGCAGCTATCAGATGAGTCTTTCTTGGGTCCTGCATGAATTTGCTAATCACACTGACTGAGTAGCATATATCAGGTCTGCTATTGCACAAGTATCTTAGTGAACCAACTATTTGTCTAAACATTGTTTGATCCACTCTTTCTTCATTACTGCACTCATCCAATTTTGAATTTGTCTCTGATGGATTTGAGATTGAGTTGCAGTTACTCATTTCAAATTTCTCAAGTAACTCACCTATGTACTTCTGCTGGTGCATCAGTATTCCAGCCTTTGTCTTCATAAATTCCATACCTAGGAAGAATGAGAGTTCACCTAGGTCAGTCATTTCAAATTCAGACTTCAACTTGTCTTTCACTTTCTCAATATCTTCTATTCTGCTTCCAGTAATTAGCAGGTCATCCACATATAGGCAAATTATCATGCTATCCTCTTCGTTTGCATTTTGCACATATACACCAAACTCCACTGTGCATTTTTTTAAAGCCTATTTGAATCAGGAATTGGTCAATTCTTTTGTTCCAGGCTCGAGGGGCTTGCTTCAAGCCATACAAGGCTTTATGGAGCCTATACACCATGTTCTCTTTGCCTTGTATTTCAAACCCAGGAGGCTGTGACACAAATACAACCTCTTCAAGTGGACCATTTAAGAAGGCTGACTTGACATCTAGGTGATGAAGTAACCATCTTCTCTTACAGGATATAGCTACTACTAATCTCACAGTTTCAAGCCTTGCAACAGGGGCAAAAACCTCATTGTAATCTATACCATGTTTTTGCAAGAAGCCTCTAGCCACCAATCTAGCCTTGTGCTTTGACACTTTTCCATCAGGTTTTAATTTCAGCTTAAACACCCACTTTACATCTATCTTCCTTTTCTTATCTGGCAAGTGAACTAACTCCCAAGTATGATTCTTCTCAATTGAATTGAGCTCATCCACCATGGCTTTCTTCCAAGCATCTATCTTTAATGCTTCTTTATAATTGATAGGCTCAGAATCTGCCAGCAACGCAAAATGGATAATATCACCCTCATCGTTTACTGCATTATCTGAAATCACTTCACAGTCATTTAACCTCTTTGGAGCTTGTCTAGTTCTTGCAGGCCTCATAGCTTCTTCTGCTTCTACTTGTTCATCTGCATTATTTAGTTCCACTTCTTCATTTTCTGAATCACCTGCATCACTGTTGTTCACTTCTTCATTCTCTGACTCATCACTTGAGTCAGGATAGATGCAATTTTGTTGGTTTTCTTCACTGTATGTTGGTTCCTCTTCCCATTTCCATTTTTCAGCTTCATTCACTATCACATCCCTACTGACATGTACCTTTTGAGTTAAAGGATTATAGAGCTTATAGGCACCTGTGGGATGATATCCTATAAGTATCATAATCTCACTTTTATCTTCAAGTTTGCTTCTTCTAGCATCTGGTATGTGCTTATAGCACAAAGAGCCAAAAATCTTGAAGTGTTTCACACTGGGTTTTCTTCCACACAAAGCTTCCTCTGGTACTTTTGACTTCAGCTTCTTTGTAGGACACTTATTTAGAATGTAAGCAGCTGTAGTAACTGCTTCCCCCCAAAACTTGTGTGGTAGATTCTTCTGTTTGATCATGCTCCTTTGCCATGTTCAGTAAAGTTCTATTCCTCCTTTCAGCCAATCCATTATGCTGAGGTGTATATGGTGCTGTTACTTCATGCATAATTCCTTGATTGGCACAGAAAGCTTCAAACTCTTTTGAGGTGTATTCTCCTCCCCCATCAGTCCTCAAGATCTTAATAGATTTGTCACTTTCCTTTTCTATTAAGACTTTGAATTTTCTGAATACTTCTAAAGCCTCACTCTTAAGCTTGATTGTATACAGCCATATCATCCTTGTATATTCATCAACAAAAGTGATGAAGTATTTGCTTCCCCCTAATGAAGGCACTTCAAATGGACCACAGATATCTGAGTGGACTACTTGAAGTGTCACATTAGCTCTCTTAGGTGCTTCAGGGGCAAATGGGAATCTACTTTGCTTACTTTTTACACACACTTCGCAGATGGTTCTTCTGACTTTCAGTTTAGGCAGGCCATATACCAGTTCTTTAGAGTTTAATTCACTAAGACTTCTAAAGTTTAAATGACCATACCTTTTGTGCCATAATTCTTCAGCATTTTCACTTACTGCAGCTGACATACACATCATCTTTTCACTTGAGATGTTGCACCTGTATGTTCTATTCTTTGACATGTTTGATTTGAGTACCAAGTTCTTCCTTGAATCAAACAGCTTCAGAGAGTTACCATCCATGGTTACTGAGAATCCCTTCTCCACTAGTTGACCCATGCTCATGAGGTTACACTTCATTTCAGGAACATACATCACATCTTCAATAATGATTCTCTTGCCATCATTGCTTCTAATCATTATATTTCCACTTCCTTCAGCTACAAGCTTTCGATTATCAGCAAGTTTGATGCTTGTTTTCTTGTTAGCATCAAAACCTGTTAACCAGTCTCTATGTGATGTCATGTGGTTTGAACATCCTGAATCCAGAAACCACTCTTCATTTTTGGTCTTTTCATCATTTGTAGTAGCCATCATCAACACTATGCTTGGATCATCTTCATGAGCCAGATTTGCTTCATCATCCTTTTGATTTTTCTTGAACCAACACTCATCAGCAAAGTGTCCATGCTTCTCACAGTTGAAGCACTGCACCTTGCTTTTGTCAAAATCCCTCTTCTTGTTCTGACTTCTGCCACAGCCTCCTCCTTTTGAAGATTCAGCTTTGTCTACCACCTTGTTCTTTCCATTTTTGGACCAACTTGTCTTGCCTTTTCCCTTTCTTTTGAAATCCTTCTGGTTTCCCTCTTTCTTGTAAGTTTGAACTTGAAGTGCTTGTTGAGTTGATCTTTCAGAACTTCTATCAAACACCAGGAGTTCATGTGCTTCTAGTGAATTTTGCAAGTCCTCGATCTTCATAGTTTTCACATCCTTTGCTTCTTGGATAGCTACAACTATGAAATCAAATTTCTGATTCAAAGATCTCAGCACCTTTTCTACTACCACCTGATCTGTAATGTTTTCCCCACATGTTTTCATTTGATTCACAATGGCAATTAGTTTCGAGAAATAGTCACTTACTTTTTGATCTTCCTCCATCTGCATCATTTCATACTTCCTTCTGTAGGATTGTAGCTTCACTTGTTTCACCTTTTCACCACCAGTGTGATAGCTTTCTAAGATTTCCCACGCTTCTTTGGATCTTGTTGCTTTCGAAATCTTCTCGAAGTGTTGATTATCAACATTCTGCTGAATGTAAAACAAGGCTTTACAGTCTTTCTTCTTGGCGTCTTTGAATGCAGTTCTCTGTGCATCAGTTGGATTCACCACCAAATCCTCGTAGCCATTTTCAACAATTTCACTCACTTCTTGTGCTCCGAATAAAGATCTCATTAGTGCACTCCATCGATCCCAGTTCTTGTTATCAAGAACCAGAATATTTGATCCAAGACCATTGCTGTTCATCTTCCCTAACAAGAAGCTATCACTCACTGTTTCCCTTTGATTTTTATCCCCCTCACTATTCACTCGTGTTTCCCTAAGATTTCAACCAGGCTCTCGATGCCAATTGTTAGAACACAATTATGCGCAGCAGTATATTAAAGATTTTTGAGAGAGAATAGACTAAAGAGAAACTTGTATATTATTTCAAGATGAACAACACTATATATTTATTTACATTGCTTTGGCTATTTATAAGTGACACATATTGGTCACAAATTAGATTCTGCAGAATATCCAACACAACTAGGATAACTTCCAATAGTATTTTTTAACTAAACAAACTACAGTTTTGAATTAGAACTCAACAATATATAGGTTACATTACATAGGTTTGTTTGTTGTAGACATTTAGCAGGATGTACTGAGTTGCTTCATATCATATGCAAATATGTCTCTTAGGTTCATTTATAAATTCAAAATATCCATGTTTTTGTTGCCAAACCCTGAATCTTGATTCATACTTCATAGTTATAAATTTATAATGGTTTTTTGAAAGAGAGTTTTCTGTGATGCATCCATACTTTCCTGGATTACAAAAGTCTGTTGGTAATGGTAGTCAGTAGTACAATTTTATGCAGAATTTTTGCATCATACTGTTGGTAATTTTTTATTTTTGATTAATCCGTCAAGATCTTCATTCTATTCTTTACTTGTCTGTATGCTAATTTTTTTTATTTTTGTTTTTGTAGAGATAACATCTCCGACATCGGTTAATCTAGATGATGATGAAGACTTTGCAAGATAAAAGAGTTTAAAAACACCTTAGTTTAATTTTAGTTACTTTTGGTTTAAGAAATGATTCGGTTGAATTTTAGTTTAAGAAATGAATGTATTGTGACACTGTTTGGGAAACTTTATCAAAATATCTTGTGACATTTTTTGTAAGCTTTTTTTACCTTATTTTTATAAATTCTTCAAGATAGCTTCTGAGAACAAATTATAACACATAAAAACCATTTAAATTTATTTTATTTTTTGCTATAAAAATGACTTATAAAAATGACTTATACAAACTGCTTATTTTTGTAAGCACTTATGTTATAAGCTGTAAATAAGCTGTTTATCCAAACAGCCCTAAACATAATAGTTGACTAATTTGTGATTTTTGAACGAGTTTGCAATTTTGATTTAAATTAATTTGTGATTTTGATTGTGAATGTAGATTAAAAAAAGTTTTTTGAAGTTATAAATTATATATAAAACAGTATATTAAAAAAGTTTATAAAAGAAATGCTAAAAATAAATTTAAATAGGTTTTTTATTTTAAAAAATTCAAAATTAAGTATAACGGTTTAGTTCTTTAACAAATGGTTTGATTTGAAAAAAATTATCTTTTAATGGTTTGTATGGTTCGGAATTCCGAACCATTATACTAAATCAAAACTTTTGATTCTTTTCGGTTTTAGAAAAATTGAAACGGTTTAATATAGTTCGGATAACCATTTATAATGGTTCGATTTGGTTCAGTTCAGTTTTCTTATAGAACTATACCATGAACAACCCTACTCAATTGTGGTTGAAAGATGCAGTATTAGCTTAAACGATACCAGTTGCAGCTGAAAGAGGCAGTATTAGCTTTAAACAATACCAGTTGTAACTGAAAGAGACAGTATTAGCTTAAACAATATCAGTTGTAGCTGAAAGAGGTAGTATTAGCTTAAATAATATCAGTTGTAGCTGAAAGAGACTGTATTAGCTTAAACAATATTAGTTGTATCTGAAAGAGACAGTATTAGTTTAAACAATATCAGTTGTTGGTCAACAGCAGTCCATGTAACAGTGTTTTTCAGATATATGTATATAATTAAGTCTTTAGTAAAAATCTGTAGCAGAATATAAGTGTGACTAAAATCTGAAGAAATAGAAGCTTGCTTGGTTTGAGGACAAGTTGGAGAGAGAGACAAATTTTTTGTAGACTCCACTAATTTTCTATTTCTTCCCAAAACTGAAGAGAAATGAGATAGCAACCCTCTATATTTTTCAATTCCTATTTTAACTAATTGATACAATTGCATGATGCCCTGACGATTTGCAGCAATGTTGCATTATAGCATGTATTTTAAATGGGAAACAATACTGTGATTACACCGAAGGATCTCTCTCCTATTTCTTTATTGTCTACTAACATTATTTGTTTTACTAAAATATTAATTAATAATTTTTAAATAAAAAAACTAAAAGCAAATAGTAGGAAAAATCATATAAAATAAATTAAATAATTTGATTAATTTACATCTATTCTATTATATTGACATAAATATATTAATACTATTTAACTGCATTTTATTATTAAATAATATAAGTAAAATTTAATTGAATTGATTAGTTTTTAATTTTTAATTTTATATAATAAGCTAACATAGTTTTTGGTGATAGACACCATCTAGAATGAAAACAGACAAATTAGTGTTGCATATAACATAGTTCTTTTATCTGAGTTGTAGTTGAAAGAGGCAGTATTAGCTTAAACAATACAAGTTGTAGTTGAAAGAGGCAATATTAGCTTACACAATACCAGTTATAGCTGAAAGAGGCGGTATTAGCTTAAACAATATCAATTGTTGGTCAATATTAAAGGGTAATTTAGTATTTGTCAAATGTAGGATATTCCCTTTAGGCCATATGTGGCATTCTTATCTTTACTATTTTGTGTATAAATAGGTGTACTAGGTTTACATTTAATACAATTTATTTCCTTCAATCATTAGTGGTAGCTTTTAGCATTTATTCTTTTTCTCTCTTCTTTCTCAATTTCATCATCTTACACTAACAAATTGGTATCTAGAGCTCTTGGTTTGTTCTGAAATTTTGGGAAACACGAGTGATAGTGAGCTGTGTGTTTGATTTTTGAATCTTGAACAAAAATCTGAAACATAATCACACTGATTCTGTGGGTTTGGGAAACACTGAGTGAGAAATCTGAGATCTGAGTTTTTGTGCAAGGTTTAAGATGAATGGAGGCAGTAGTTTGAACACTAAACTTCCAATTTTTGATGGCAAACACTGGAACAGATGGAAGATATAAATGCGTGTGCTGTTTGGTGCTCAGGATGTTCTGGATCTTGTTTCTGAAGGTTATGTTCCAGTTGCAGCAGATGCTATTGAAGAACAAAAATCAGAAGAAAGAGCTGTGAGGAAGAGGGATCAGAAAGCTCTGTTCTTTATCCATCAGTGTGTGGATGAAAATGTATTTGAGAAGATTGTTGATTCGACGACGTCGAAAGGGGCATGGGATATACTGACCAGATGTTATGGTGGTGATGTATCTGTAAAGAAGGTAAAGCTTCAGTCCCTGCGAAAACAATATGAAAATCTCAGCATGAAGAACAGTGAGAAAGTTTCTGAGTACATCTCCAGAATGATTCTGATCACTAATGAGATGAAGACTTGTGGAGAAACACTTTCTGAACAGGTAATCATAGAAAAGATTCAGAGGTCACTTACTCCTCAGTTTGATTACATTTTTGTTTCAATTGAACATTCTAAAAATCTGGAAACCATGAGAATAGAAGAGTTGCAAAGCAGTCTAGAAGCGCAAGAGTTGTGTCTGACTGAAAGAACTTCTGAGAGGGAAGTGGAGCAAGCTCTGAAAGCTTCTTTTGTCAAGAAGGACCAGAAGCAGAATAGACATGGTGATAAATTCCAGAAGTCAGAAACCTCAACTTCTAATGAAAAGAAATATCAGAAGGGAAAGGAAAGGTATGACAAGAAGAAGGTCCAATGTTACTGCTGTAAACAATTTATCCATTTTGCCAGAGACTGTAGAAACAAAGGAAGGAAATCAGAAGAAGCAAATATAGCCAGAGAAGATTCTGATGATGAACCTGTGCTACTGATGGCTTCTGATTCTGATGGAAACTGTTCAGGAGATTAGTGGTATATGGACACTGGCTGTTCAAACCACTTGACTGGGAACAAACAATGGCTGATAGACTTTGACTCCAGAAGGAGAACAAAGATCAGATGTGCTGATGATAAGTACCTTAATGCAGAAGGTATGGGAAATGTTAGAGTCAGAGTGAAGAATGGAAAAAACATTCTGATCAAAGATGTTTGGTATGTTCCTGGAATTAAAAGCAATTTATGAGTGTGGGTCAGCTTATTGAGAAAGGTTTTTCAGTGGTTATGAAGGACAACCTCTTGACGTTGTATGATTCTAATAAGAAGTTGATTATGAAGTCTGAGCAGGGAAGCAACAGAACATTCAAGGTGAATGTAGAAACTTTTGAAGCGGAGTGTCTTAGTGCAGAAGGCGCTGAAGCTGACAGTAAGCTGTGGCACAAGAGGTTGGGGCACTTGAACTATAGAAGCTTAGGGAATCTAAGTTCTAAGAAGCTCGTACATGGCATTTCGAAGATTGTGAAGCCTCAGAAGTCATGTGATATATGCATGAAAGGCAAGCAACCCAGATTGCCATTTGCATCAGAAGTAGCCCCCAGAGCAAAGCATGCTCTGGGAGTAGTACATTTTAATGTGTGTGGACCATTTCCAGTACCTTCAATTGGAGGAAACAAATATTTTGTGTCTTTTGTGGATGAGTTCACAAGAATGACATGGGTAACACTCATCAAGTTCAAGCATGAAGTGTTTACTGAGTTCCAGAAGTTCAAGGTGAAGGCTAAGAAGCAGAGTCGTTAGAAGCTGGAGATTCTGAGAACAAATGGTGAAGGTGAGTATAACTCTACAGAGTTCCAGAAGTTCTATGAGGAGAATGGAATAGAACATGAGGTTACTGCTCCATATACTCCTCAGCACAACGGTCTTGCTGAAAGAAGAAACAGAACTTTGCTTGATATGACCAGAAGTATGCTGAAAGAGAAGAAGTTACCTCACATGTTATAGGGAGAAGTTGTTGCCACATCAGCATATATTCTGAATAGGTGTCCAACAAAGAAGCTGAAGGAAACTGTTCCTTTAGAAAAATGGACTGGAGACAAGCAAAGTGTCAGCCATATGAAAGTGTTTGGTTCTGTATGCTACAAACACGTTCCAGAGGCTAGAAGATGAAAACTGGATGATAGAAGCAAAACAATGTTACTGGTGGGGTACCACAGTACAGGTGCCTATAAGCTTTATTGTCCAGAAACCAACAAAGTTGAGATCAGCAGAGACGTCATTGTGAAAGAGTCAGAAACATGGGATTGGAACAAGCTTCAATCAGATTCTGGTGTAGCGCCAACACCAGGGTTAGTTTCTGAAGATCCTTCAGAAATTTCTGAAGACGAGTCAAAAGATGAAGACTCTGAAGATGAGTCAGAATCTCAGGGAGATTCTGATAGTGGATCTGATTCTGATCCAGATTCTGATGATGATCCAGAATCTGGTGGTGATTATACTTCTGAAAGGGAAAACTCTGAAGACATGGGGTCTGGAGAACAAATTTCCAGAAGTAGCTCTGAAGGTGGTAATTCTGAAGGAAATAATTCTGGACAAAGTCCAGAAGCTAGCACAGTTCCGAGTTCTGGAGAAGCTTCAGAACAAGATCAGAGGCCACAGAGAATCAGACGAATACCAAGTAGGTTTGCAGATTTTAGCATGTTGCATGATACTGAAGTAGATTCTGAAGGAGAACTCGTTCAGTGTGCCATGCTAGTAGATTCTGAACTAGTGGGTATTGAAGAAGCGCTCAAGAAGAAAGTATGGTTGAATGCCATGAACGAAGAACTTGAGGCTATTGAAAGAAACAAGACTTGGAAGCTGACAGAACTTCCAAAAGGCAAGAAAGCCATCAGCGTCAGATGGGTT